CCCGGCCTCTCAGTCTCGGAGGCTGCGGCCGCCGAGGCCGACAGGTGTCCCGCTGTCCCCACTTGAAAGGGACCGGCCCCGAGGATGCGCCCTGATTCCTGCAGAGCAGCCGGCCGGGCCCCTCCGCAGCCTTCCCTCCCTCGCCATCTCGCCTGTCCCGCACGCCCGGCCTCCCGCTACCAACAGCCGGCGGGAAGGGGGTGCGCTGACCTCGGGGGGTCTCGCAGGGCCGGACCCCCGCCGTGCACGCCGCCCGGGTGTGCGGCGGGGAGAGTGCCACCGCGGGAGGGAGCTCAGGGCTGGACGGAGTGGAAGCCACAGGCTTCATACTTACAGTGACACCAGCAGCACGGGTTGTAAAAAACTTCAAGTCGCAAGCACGTGCAACAGTCGTGCCCCCCACCCTGTCCCAGGGGAGACTTACAAGAGAAGGGGGGCTTTCAGCTGGACCCCCAAAGATGAGGAGGATAGTTTGGGGCAGGGGACAGCTTGGGCGGAGTCCCCAGAGATGTCTGTGAGGCTCGGAGAGCCCCCCTCTGGGTGGAGAGTGGAGAGAGGGGACCGGCTCTGAGCCCTGAAGGACTGGGCTTGATTTGGGGTGAGTTGAAGGGATAGTGGGATTTCCCCGTCACGCGTCGGGGGTGCACACACTCAGGTCTGCTGCTCTGGAGGGGCGCTGCCGTGGTCACCCAGGAAAGCGGTTGAGAAGTGGGGCGGTGCTCAGAGGCTGCCCAAGCGCCCTCCGGGACTGCCAGCCCTGCTTGGCATCTAGTCCAGCGGTACCCTGTTGGCACTGCTTGGGTTTTCTAGATGTCTCATTGGCTGCAACTAGGTTGTTGAGAGCCCCAAACATATAGAATGTGACAGAAAAGTGGAATCTCAGAAACTTTGTCTCAGAAAATCCAAAGGAACAGAGAACGACCAGCAATTGCATCGTTGGTTCTAACTCCGGAATAGCCGTTGTCACTTTGCTGGGCAGCAGAGTGTCTTCTCCTGTCCTGTGTGTGGGGGGAAAGTTTGAGGGGGGGGCAGCAGAGGCTGGGCTTCGGCCCCCGCAATGCCGCGCCTCTCCTCAGGAGGCCTCGAGCTCTTGGTTGCCTTGAAAGAACAGGGTACTGCGTGGCCCCATCAGGAAGGCTTCCTCCGTGTGTCTGAGCAGGGCCACACTGGTGTCAGGGCGCCCAGGGCAGAGGCGGGCTCTGGGGTGCCCGGGCCAGCTGAGCTGTCTGGGCTCAGCCCTGGAGGCCCAGGGGTTGGGGTCCAGTCCCCACTGTGCTGGGTGGCAGGCTGCTTCACCCGCTGAGCCTCCGAAATGGGGGTCGTCAGGGCACCTTCCTGGCCCCACGTGGGACGGGAGCTGAATCCGTGGTCACGTTGGATAAGGAGCCACAGAGATTTCGTTTGAGGTTGTGGTTCCCGTGGCTGTGGCTGTGTCCCTGTTGAACGGGAGGACCTAGTGAGCACCCTTGGGGGCTGCTGTGGCTCAGATGGGGACCCTGAGGCCCAGAGAGGGAAGGGATTTGCCTGGGGGTAGGGCCGGGCGACCTTCGGCCATAGAGTGGGTCTGGAGCCTCCTGTGTGCCCAGAATGCCATCAGTCAAGGCCTGCAGGGCACAGCGGGGGACAGCGGGGGGCTCTCTGGGGTGATGGCAGCAGGCAGAGGTGGCTCTGTGGCAAAGACTGTGTTTGGGGTGGACCGGGGGCCCAGCAGTTGGTGACACCTGATGAAATAGATTGGGCCAGACTGAGGGCTTGATGGAAGTAGAGGGCTGGGCGGTGTCCGGGTGGGGAGTGACTTGGGGCGGGGGCGTCCGGAAGATCACACTGGCATCTGCGTGTGCAGGGATGAGGGAAGACAGTGCTGGAGGCTGTCCCCACACGAGGGGCGGTCCCCACACCAGTGGTGGCGGGGAATGGGAAGAAGTAAAGAAGAGCATGTGGGCGGGCTCTGCGAGGGAGGTCCCTGGGCTTGCTGATGGCGGGGCCTGTGGGCCGAGGGGAGACTGTCATCAGCTCTGACGCGATCGATCAGAGTGCCTCGCGTCTGGTGCACTAATGGAAAAACGCAGTCCGCCTTGGACATGCTAGTGACTGCCAGATGCAGCCCAACTGCAGAGCCATTAGAACGTGAAATAAGTCTCAGAGTTAATGGCACGCAGCACACGTGGTGAGGCCGTGAGCTCAAGCCTTGGGGATGCGATGGCGCCTGATAATCCCTGTGAGAGAGAGAGGAGAACACAGGGGAGGGAGATAGTTCGGGAAGTGGCACGCCCTCACCTGCCGTTATCTGGTGTGGCCCAGGTGCAGGAAGGCACCGTACCTTCTCTGATGCCAGGTGTCTGAGCTGCCCTCTCCCTGGGCCGCCCCCCCACCTTTACCTGAACTGCTGAGCAGCAGCTCCCTGTCCTGCCAGACCAGCCTCTGACCTCGTCGGAGCCCTCAGTGGCTTGGTGGATCTTCTCACATGCTCCCGGCACCTTCGTAGGCCTGTGCCATCCTCCCGGCCCCTTGTCACCAAGCCCCTCCACACTCTGCTCAGCACCTTCTCCTGGCGGAAACCGCTCAGGTGTCTGTCTGCTCAGCCAAACACTGCTGTTAGCGGGTGCTGAGCACCGCGTTGTGGACGACCAGTCTGGGGACAGTCCCACTTTTCTCCCCTCGCTCCACTGACACTGTTCTTGCTGAGGTGGGTGGAAATTTTGTCATGCTCGTCCAATGGTCACCTCGGTCCAGGTCTTACTTGACTCCAGCAGCCCCCCTGGATGGACGGGAATGGCTGTCGTAGGGCGTGCCTATTTATTTGGTGTTCAATGGAAATTTCCTTTGGGGTCAGAATTGGGAGCCCAGCTCCTTGGAGGAGCCCCGGGAGGTGATGAGCGTGAGTGAGCAGCAGGCCCCTGGCCTCTCAGGAAGCTGCGGGGACATCCAGGAGACAGCTCGGCAACCCTGAGTCCTGCGAGGTGGCAGGGCCTTTGCAGGACTAGACCAGCAAAAGGTCCTGGGGAGAAGGACCTGGGGAGGGAGGCTGAGCTGGAGGGGGACGTGGGAGGGCTCAGATGCCTCACATCTCAGAAGGCCAGTTGGTAGGACACAGGCCGTTAAAGTCAGGCCCAGTGGGGGTGTGACCCCCCCCTTACCTGTGAGAGGAGGCAGCTTCTTTTGAAAATGTCATTTTACTTGTCCTTCAAGTCCTGAGGATGTGAGAACGTGCTGAGTGCCTGGCACCTGGCAGAGGTGCTTCCCGGTGCACTCTGACCAGACATCTCTGAACTAAATGAAGGAGGACGTGTGTGCAGAAGGGTGCTTGGTGACAAGTCCACAGCCCTGGGTCTGGGAACTGGTGGGACCTCAGCAAGCTCCGGGTATGGTCAGGAAGCCCAGCCAGTGGGGGTAGCATGGGGTAGGTCGCCACCGTAGAGACCAAGGGCTCCAGGGGCCGGGGGCTCAGCTCAAGCCCAGCCCCCTGCAGGCCAGCTGCTCTGGCCCAGCCCAGCCAGGCCTCAGGACTGCAGAGGTGAAGGGGAGCAGGGAGGTCCCCAGAGAACCTCAGTGTGGGCTGTGCAGGCGGGGCGACGAGAGATGGGAGCGGGCAGGCACCTGAGCGAGGCCTGAGAGGATGAGAGGGACTCCAGGTGGAAAGCACGGGGGCCCGTGATGGCCTCACTGGGAGGAGAGGCCCCAGGGGCGGGCGAGGCTGGCAAGGCAGGTGCCCTGAAGAAGTGGTTGCCAGGTGGAAGAGGACAGACCACAGGAGGGCCGAGGGCAGGCTCCCTGACACCTCCCTCCTGTTGTGTAATTGGAGCTTCCCTACCTCGCCCACAGCCCTGTGGGGTGCGTGTCCCCAGGGCGCCCTCCTGTGCTCTGGCCCTTGGCAGGAGAACCATGGGCTAGAGATCCCCATGTCCAAGCAGGAGAAGTCACTTGGTGAGGGTCTGAGCTCCGCCTGCCTCCAGGAGGCTGATTTTATGCAGTTTTGTTGTTCTTGCCTCAGCCTGTGGGCTTCTGTTTACCTGTGTAGGTATTTAAATGCCAAGTCATTTATGTGGCCGCTGAGCTAGCCAGAGAACCCACACTGCCATCCTTACCCTCTGGGAGGGGCTGCCCTGGGCAGTCTGGGGCCCCTGAGCTCCAGGGTGGGGTGGGGAGGCCCTTGTGCTCAAGGCCCCCCCCACCCCCACTCCCAGCACCTGCGATTGCCCTGCCCTGGGGCAAGGCCGGGCCTGGGACTGGCCCTGTGCAGCCGGCTCCCTCACTCTGTGGTGTGTGTCCTCAGCCAGAGAGGGGACACTGTCCAGCTGGTGAGGTTAGGAGTGAGCCTAAAAACAAGACTCCCACCTAGGGCTGTAGAATCCCCTGGGCAGAGAGGGTGCAAACAGGCGGTGCCCCAGGGGAAGGGTCACGGGGTCAGGCCTGCCAGCTTCCTCTGGGCCCATGCCCTTCTCCAGCCCTCCGCCCTGCTGGCTTATCGAGAGCACTGGCTCACTGTACCAGCCTCCGGGACCTGGAGGCTGGGCCGGCTCCATTTGCCCGCTGGGCTCCTCACTGCTCGGAAGCATGTTCCCGTTTTACAGATGGGAAACTGAGGCTTAGCGGAAACAGCAGGCCAGGCCCTACAGGCTGTGAGGGCAGTTAGGGCTTGCCAGGAGGACTGCAGCCCTTTCCAAACCGTGACTCGTCCCGCGCCACCTGGCTGGAGAAGGGACCCTGCTGCTGAGGGCTCAGGCCTAGCGTGTGGCTGGCCCCCCCAAGGCTCCCACCAGCTGAGCCTGTGGCAGGCCACAGCAGTTTGTCCTCAGCTTATAGGGAAGAGGCAGATACCCCCGCCCCTACCCCGCAGCTCCTCTGGAGAGGTGACATTCGGTCCCTCCTTGGGGGCTTTCCCTTTCAGAGGCTGAGGGGATCTGGCAGCAGAACGCGAGGACCAGACGCCCCAGCGATGACCAGGTGGGTCTTAGGCAGCGGAGTGGACTCTGCCCCTGGGGCGAGGGGCATGGGGTCCCCCCTCTGCCCCCCAGCCTCTCCTCACATCCCGCCTCCCCCCAGTTCCCCGGTCTCCAGGGTCGTCTACAACGGCAAGAGGAACAGTAGCCCCCGTTCTCCCCCCAACAGCAGCGAGATCTTCACCCCGGCCCATGAGGAGAATGTGCGCTTCATTTACGAAGGTTTGCTGGGCGCTCTCCAGAGCGCCCCTCCTGCCCCTCCAGGGTGTGGGCTGCACCTCACTGTCCCCATCCCTCAGGGCCCAGGAAGATGGGGTGACACAGGGGCCCTGTCTGGTAAAGACAGGTTCTGGTAATGGGGCAGTCCGCTCTATGGTGTTCCCAATGGGCAGCACCCCAGAAGGGGCAGCATTTGGAGCTGGTTGGGGTTTTTTTGGGGGGGAGGGGGACCGCCATAGAAGACAGATGGTGCACTCTGGGGGGAACCCAGGAGTGTCCCCAAAGTGGGTGGCTGTCTGCTGGTCGGTGGGGGATGAAGGAGGCAGGAAAGGCAAGGGCCACTGGGAGGAGGAGCCGTGCACCCCGTGGGTACATACTGGTCCAGTCCTGGTCCATACACGTGAGGGGCGTGGCCCAGGCAGGACTCCCCAAGGACGTGCGGGAGTGGGGGTACGCTGGGGACAACTTCAGGTCGAGAGCTGGCTGGTCTGGGGGCCAAGTGCTGTGAAGTGGGAGATTGGCGGGGTTGGGGAGGGTCTGTGAGGTCACTGACGGGGAGGGGAACGGATGCTTTCCTGGCTGGGGCTCTGCGCTCTGACTCCCTCCTTCCTGCAGCCTGGCAGGGCGTGGAGCGCGACCTGCGGAGCCAGGTGGCGGGCGGCGAGCGGGGCCTGGTGGAGGAGTACGTGGAGAAGGTCCCTAACCCCAGCCTGAAGAGTGAGTGGGAGGGGTGCGTGGGGGTGGGGGGGGCCTTCTGTTTCCTGATGGGGAGACAGCCCAGCAGGGTGGGCGGGTCCCAGGGCTGACAGGTGGGGGCAAGATGGGAGCGGGAAGCTGCCTCTTGGGTGCCCACCGCTGACCGTTCTGGCCCCCACAGCCTTCAAGCCCATCGACCTGAGTGACCTGAAGCGCCGGAACACGCAGGACGCCAAGAAGTCCTAAAGCTCAGGCCCTCCCCTGGCCTCTGGGGGAGCTGGTGCAGCCTGGTGGCCTTCTCTCCTGTGGGCTCAGCTCCTGGGGGTGGGGGTGGGGAGGGGGCCGCAAATCCCAGGACCAGGAGGCGTGATTGGTGGCCAAGGCCTGCCCCTCCCCTAAGCCCCGCTTTCCTCTGGCCGGTCTCTAGCTGCTCCTGTTGCCGAGAGGGTCTGGGCCCCGCCAGTCCCTGCCTTCTCTGGGGCCTAGCTGTGTCTGGAGCTTCCTTGCCCCACCTGCCCGCCCCCCACCGGACCTTGACCCTGACTCTGCTCCCCTCCCATCACCTCTTCTGCCCCACCCTGGCCCCTGGCCCCCTCAGGATCAGGATGGAGGTGAGGGGGCCTTCCTTGTCACCTGGTCCTGTGGGACTGGGCCAGGTTTGTCCCTGAGGTGGCCAGGAGGCAGGACGTGGGCCGCTCCACCCACAGCCAGCGTGGGTCTGCCACTGCTGCTTCTCTGGCCTGGACACACTGGGGAGGGAATAGTCCCCCACACTGTCCCGCCCAGCCCCTCCCCGCCTGCACCAGCTCTCCGGGCCTGGGACACCACACGCCCCTCACAGGGTCCTGGGTGACCAGGCCTGGCCCCTGGTGTCTGCGCCCCTGTGGCCACAGCAGCCCCCTCAGGCAGGGCTGTGAGGTTGCCCAGTGGGTCCTGGCTCTGTGCAGTGTGCTGGGGAGGCCAGCAGGGCCCCTTTTTCTTCCTGTGCTCTCCACAAGTGTCTGCGGTGAGCCTGAGGACCAGTGAATAAAGGCGGGCGGCACTGCATCGGCCTCTTGGCGGTCTGTCAGGCCTCTGTCCCTCCCGGCAGCCCATACAGGGCTGGAACCTGAGGTCATGCACAAGGCCCCTGAGCCCAGACATTCCGTCTGATCCCTGGGCTCCATGAGGGGTTGCTCAGCCTCGGGGGGCTGTAGGAGGTGGAGGTGGGGCCTCCTGGAGCAGAGAGGCTAGGGTGGTTCTTGGTCCCTCAAGGCAGAGGCATCCTCTGCGGCCCTGGACCCGCCCAGAGAGACCTGAGTGCACTTGACCTTCAAACCTGGACAGCCCTGGCAGGTCAGACCCAGAGAAGCCAAACCAGAATTTATTTTGGGAACACCCTTTCCCAGAAGGGTATTTTGGGGCTTGAGTAGCCCCACACGTGGCTGTAGGAGGCATCTTCTCTTGAGGGGTGGTTCCCAGGGCCAGGGCGCAGGAAGTACGGTTCATGTAATAAATAGCCACTGAGGCTCGCTGTCAGTGGGCACTGGCTGGTGCCTGGACCTGAGCCACGTCCCTGTAACCCTGTGGCCTTGTTTGCTCCTCGGGGACCTGTGGGGCATTTTGCCAAGGGCTTCAGTGCCCTCTGGCTGGGTCGCCCGGGCTGTTCTCTCCACTGTCAGGTTGGGAAGGGAGTATGGACGAGGGGTGGGCAGTGGCCTGCTGGGGTGCAGGGGGCTGTGGCCAGAGGATGAATGGGCTCACTGGTACACATCACACCCTCCGCCCAGTGTGACCTAGACCACCAAGGATGAGGCAGGGCAAGGGGCACTGTGCTGCCCACGGTGGCCGGCCGGCAGCAACCCTGCAGGGGAGGTGGGGCGCAGGCTGCAACCTGCCAGCCTTCACTGTACCTGTGACCTTGAGCAGCTTGCTGCGTCTCCAGCCTCAGTCTCCTCAGATGGAGATAGGTACCCACGCCCTGGGTGGCTGCCTGATGCTGGTGCCCGCCGCCCCTGTTAGTCATCTCATGGGTGCGCTTCACCGCACTGTCTTGGAACAGCGGGCGCAAGCCACAGCCTTGCTGTGAGCCCTGGGGCGTGGCACACTGCTGCCCCATCTGTTTCCCCTTCTGTAAAGTGAGGTGTGGGCTGTGACAGTCCAAAGGCCTCTCCCCAAATGGGGTGCTAGGGCCCCCGGGCCACATGTGGGGAATGCCTAATTAATATCCTGCTGCATTAGTTAAATGTGGACCTGAATTTGGCTCCAAGCTGCCTCAGGGCCCTTCCCCATCCTGTGGAGCTGAGGGTGGGAGTGGAGGATCAACTGTGGCTCCCTCCGGCCACCCTTGGCCCTAAATTCTGGGTCTCCCCTGCCCACAACCACCCCTCCCAGCCTCACCCATCAGTGATGGTGCCCCTGGGCCCACGGAACACCCCTCGAGGCCTTTTCACTCCCGCTGTCTCTGTCAGCTTGGCTTTTCTGTGAAATGGATGCCCTTGGCCTGGGGTCTTTCTGCCAAGAACACCTTGGAGGTGGGGGTGGGGTTAACATGCCACAGGCTGGAGGGTGGGTGAGGCGCTCTGATGGGGGCAGGGTGTGGGGGGCAGATGGTAAGCTTGGAGGGGAGTGCAGGGCTGGGGAGCTGGGGCCCAGTCCGCAGAGGCAGTTGTTGGCCCCCGAACTGGCCCCTGCTCCCATGCCGTCCCTTCCCCAGCAGTGATCCATATGTCCCCTCTTGAGAGTTCTGCCACATGAGTGAGCACTCAGTGTGGTCACAGCAGGTTTCTCAGTGTCTGGGCAGGAGTGGGCAGGGGTCCTCTGCCCAGGCCACACTGTCACCTCTTAGTCCCAGGCGACGGCGCTGCCTGGTCATGAGTGGCTGGAGACAGTCCCCTGCCCGTCGTGCAGTGAGGGCAGCTGGGGGTGAGGTGAGCGGCCTGGTGGGACCACCACATTGAACTCCAGTGCGCGCATGTCACTGCTTCCATTCAAGGGTGACAGCTCCGTGGGGCAGGGTTTGTTACCCTGACATTACTGAGGACACGGTGCGCTCCTGTGAGACAGGCCTTGTTCTGATTTGTTAGCTTTAATTTTTATCAAAATTCTCATGCAGTAAATGCTGAGCGTGTGCTCTGAGCTTGCGCAGTAATCCCCTGGCAGCATCCAGCGCCCAGCCACACGCCCCTGGCGGCTGAAACCGCGTCTGGGTGTCTGACGGACCAGGTGGAAAGGCGGTGCAGCCACGTCTGCTTCGCGCCCTCCAGTCCCTTCTTCCTCCGTTTATGCCTGGCTCCCCACTTCTGGGCTTGGCTGGTGGCGTCCTGTAGCGTTAAGAGGCCCCTCCGTCCCTGGCACTGCTGTGAGCCAGGGAGAGAGGTGGAGGTGGGCTTCGTAGGGGAACCTGCGTGTGAAAGCCCTGCCCTGGCCCTGTGCTGAGCACAGCTGCAGGGTCAGGGCAGAAGCAGGGAGGCGTGGCCTTTGGGAGGGTCCGTCCCCTCAGTGAACTGGGAGGGAGGGGGGGTCAGAAGGCGCAGGGTGGGTAAGGAGCTCAACGTGGACGTGTGGAATTTGGGGTGCTGAGTGGGAAGCCGAGGCTACAGCGTGGGCTGTGAGGGCCACGGGCTGGACAGACAGCCTAGCAGTCCCATGAAGATTGATTCCTACAGGCCGCTAACAGGCGGAGGGTGGGGCCTGCGCCCTGGGCCTGCAGGAAAAGGGACTGACCGGCGGAGGGCGCAGTCTGCGAGACTGGAGGGGCCTGGGCGGAGAGCTGCCAGCGTCCTGGAGGCGCCCGCAGCTCCCCTCTGCGCCCCCCGCCCCGCCCCCACCCCGGCAGCCGCCTTCACGGCTTCAGCTGATGGTTTGGGTTTCTAACCCGACCCGGGAACTGCTGCTCCTTGGTTTTCCCGTTCCCAGCCTCCCGAGACAGTTTTAACTTTGGTTACATCAGTGTTGAGTATTTATATTATAATGTCTGTGTTTGTCTTCAGAGCGGAGCCATGTGGTAAATTGTGATTATTTTTCTTTTCTGCTCAACTTTTTGTATTCCTTAGAGTTATTAATTGCCTTCTTTTTTCATGTGCTTAGTTTTCTATGAACTAATACCAGTTGAGTCCTGAACTCTCCCCCAGGTCACCTAAGTCTCCTCTCAGTGTTCAGTCCCTTTGATCCCTTGAGGGTGTCTCTCCTGGAGGTGCCCTGCCCCCAGTGACCCACTCTTCCTGGCTCATAGCTGCCACCTGGGGGACATGCCGTGACTCCTGGGTTTGCTCCGTTTGTCGACGTCCATGCTTTTTCCTCTTCCTTGGTCTTCACACTCATTTCAGCAGCATGCATGTACACACACGCACGCACGCGCACACACACGCACGCACGCACGCACGCTGGGCAGTACCCATGCGTTCTTTCGTGGCTAGGGCCTGAGGTGGAGGACGGGGTGGAGGTGGAAAGTGGCGACGGGGAAGAGGCCGCAGCTCCTCTTCCTGGACGGAGAGTGATGCCGCATGGGTGCTGTGCTCTGAGTTAGAAAGTGGGCCCCCCTCCCACTCTGCCCCCCTTTCAGGGCTGCCTGGTCAGAACCAATGCTTATTGGCTGGGCAAGTCCGGCCCCTGCCAGCCTTCCACCTCCACCCCTGACTTCACTGGCCTGCTCTAGTTCCCTTGGGGACAGGGACAGGGGTGAAGGAGGACAAGGGCAGAGGGAGTCCGGATGGGGAGGGCTGTCAGGAGGCCCCTAGGTGAGCGGCACCCCCACCCCCCAAGGCAATCACTAACCCTGAGCTCAGCTGGCGTGAAGGAGAGCCAGCTTGTGCCCACACAGGCTTCCGGGCCTCAAGGGCTGGCAGGGGCGCCCCTGTGGGCAGGGGTTCAGAGGACAGTCAGGGCCGAGGGGGCCTGGGACAATTGGTGGCCTGAAGCCTCAAGGTCAGGGGCCTCAGGCCTCCAGCTGCTGGCTGGCACTACCCTTGGTCCTGCAGCACCTACTGGTCACAGTGACACAGGCCACCCAGCTGGACCACAGGAGAGTCCAGTCTCCCTAACTAGCCTGCCCTCCCTGCCCTCCCCTAATCACTCCCTCCGGGCCTGCGGTGGGGGTGGGGTGGGCGTGGCTGGCTTGGGGTGAAGGCCCCCTCAGGAGGGCCTGTGTAACCGGTGAGTAATTTTATTTATTTTTCCTGAGAGGCCTCCTGCCCTCTCATTTGCTCCAATTAGCTGGGCTCTGCCTGAGCAGCTCCAGCCCACGTGGCCCGGGCTGTGGGCACCCCTCCCCCAGGGCCCAGCGGTGGCCTTCCAGCAGCTCCAAGAGCAGGGACACCTGGCTGGCCCCTCTGGCTGGAGCACTCTGCACCTGCAGCTCCTTCCTCCGTTGACAGCGCCTCTTGCACGCACACAGCCACAGGGGGTGCTCTGCAGGCAAGCACAGCCCCATGCAGCCCACCCCTGCACTTGCCTCCGGCCTCTACATGACACACAGTACCCCAGATGGCACTCCGACCTTAGGGTGCTGTCCGGGCAACCGCCCCTCCCCCCAGTGCACTGCCTGGCTTTTCCTAAGTCCAACACTCAGCTTTCCTGGCAAGCATCAGCCCTCACTGCTCACCAAGCAGGGTGCCCACCCACCACGTGATGGACAGCATCCTCGCTGCACACACCTGCCCGTCCACACGCCTGGTGTGGCCGGGACCAGAGTGGGCTGGGCCTCTCTGCCAAGTGGTCATGTCGGGGCTGTGCAGAGGCCTTGGGGGAACTGTGCCCCTTCACTTGGACCATTTCCACCTGGGGGGTCCACTTCTCCCTGCTGCAGTCTGCTCTGTGGCGTGCGAACTTCTCAGCGGCCAGAGCCAGGATGAAGCAGAGGCCAGCAGAGGACATCCACTTCTGGGCTGTCTGGGCCCTTGCTGGGCCTGAGTCCCGCCTGCAGTTCCAGCAGGGAGCCAGGGGTGTTCACGTGGGGTTGGCTGATGCCAGCGGCCTCCCTGGGCCATCACCCCTCTTTCATGTCCCTCTGCTGGCCAATGGTGACCCTCTTCGGGTTGAGGGCCAAAGCTAATGGGGGACTCTCCACTCGGGCCTGGGGTGGGGGGGGGTCCCCTGACCGGGATAGGAGGATAGCCAGAACCTGCTTCAATGGGGACATGGAGGGGCACTGCCAACTACCACTCACTGTGGGACCCCTCAGGGGTCCCAGCTCCAATTCGTGTGTAGAATGGCAGCTCCCAGAGGGAGCACACCAGCTCAGGGCCCCATCGCAGCTTCTCCCTTCTCACTCTCACAGGGAGCCCCGGGCCCAGCCCACCCCTCTCCCACGGCCCCATCCCCAGGGTGGGCCCGGTTGTCACTGCGCCAGCTCTTTATTGTTGGAGAACACGCGTTTCCTCCAACACTGGGGGCACAGACACACACAGGGATGCGGGCATGCATTTACAGAGCAGCTACCCCACACAGCACGTAGGGGAAGGGGGAGCCCTGCCCCTCAGACCACCGCACGGGGGACGTGAGGACGGTGGGGACACTGTCCTGCTCCCGCCCCTCCAGGCTCTTTCGGGCATCAGTTGTAGATTGTCTGGCAGAGCCCTCTCTCGGCTCCTGAGTCCAGCCCCACCAGGGGATCCGGGGGCTTCAAAGGGGGCACTCGGCCAATCCAGAGAGGTCACCGGCCACGCGGGTCTCCGCCAAGGGGTCCTGGCTGGCCCCATTGCTGCCACTGCCTCTGGAGAGCAGCAGCTTCTCGCTGGGGGGGCCATCAGTGGGCAGGGCCGAGGCCCTGTGGCTGCTGACGTGGCGTCCCACCTGCAGCGCCTTGCCCACGCGCCACCGGTGCCAGCACCGCCGCAGCTCCGCCTGCACCTGGGACAGCTGGCAGGTTGGGCCTGTCCCACTCCCCCAGGGTCCCCAACCTCCCAACCTTGAAGGGCCACATGGCGCCCTGGACATGGAGCAAGGTGGGCTGTCACCTGGAACCCTAGGGTCTGCGGATGGCTGGGAACCCCCCTCACTGTGCGCTCCCCAAGGAGGGGCTGAGGCCGACCCATCTCCAGAGGCCTGCGCTCCACTCTGACGTCCACCCGGGGGCAGATCCCAGACCTCCCACCTACCTCCTTGTTGAGGAAACAGTAGAGAACAGCTACCAGCAAGCCCTGGAGAGAGGGGGCGGGGTCAGGACAGCCTCAAGGAGGGGG